CTGAAAATCTGGGTGCGTCTTATACACTGAATACAGCATTTTTTGCCTCCTNGGGGGGTTGGGGGGAGGGTTGGGGGAGGGAAATAAATATTTGTAAAAGTTTGTTTTTCAAAATTTTCATTAAAAAAATAGTATATATTAAATTCATCCAGATAAAAGCTTTTTCAAACGATCCATTAATATTAAATATCACTCATGAATTCAAAAACACATATAAATTAAAACTGAGCTCTGTTTTTGAAGATAGCAGAAGTTATTTTGAACATGAGTTCCACCACCTATATATACTGCATATTCAAGCAGAATCTAATGGTAAATACACTATATCATCCCACAAATATGACAACTATGCTACCAAAATCATAAATACCTATCTCTTTTGCATTCAGAAAAAATAATTTATTTATCATTTGGTGAAAAACATTCCATATTTCAATCCTTCTACACAGCCCAGAGTTTTTGATGCTTAAAGTCTTACAACTTATCAGTAAGTAGACTTAATTAACATCTACTAGTTAGCAACAAAGCAACATCATATGGACAATCACTGGACAAGCAAAAGAGCAAGCTTTGCAAGAACAAGCTATATAAATTATATTCATATCGATATAGAAATAGACATCTCCTTTTCTATATTTCTGATATTAGTATTCCCAATGTACATGAAGGATATCAAATTATAGAAACCTCTTTATACTATAAGGTCTACAGAAAATAGAGATTAAATTTAAAAGGAAATATTGGAGCGGACTGGTAAACTATTCGCATACTTCTTTCTATTGCTATTGTTCCATGAATACCATTGATAGTGGTATTGCCATCATTTCTGATTGCATTAATCAGTAAATATCAGAATATATTGGGTGAGCTGGACAAAGTGAATATAGCCCAAAACAAGTATGAACCATTTTACCAGCATCTGGTCTATTTATATAATGCAAAAATAATAATATCAGTTTACTAATTTTATTGTGAAATCAGTGTGCTGTACCAATGAAAAAAATAGCACCTGTTGACTCAAATTAGCCAAGCTATTTGCTATTGTAAAGGTGCCATTTTCAAGGATCATTAGCTTACTAATCTGCACAAAGGTTCTTTCCCAAACATAAATATGTAATTAATCAGACATTGGACGACTAATGCATGGAGCTCTTTGGTTAATTTCTGTGAATATAAATAGAACACACACAGACAGACACACACACTGTATGCAAGTGTGTTTGTAGGGCAGGGAGTATATCCTAACCTAACAGTATCCCTGTTAAATTAATAAGTATTATGTGAAAGAGAAGACTAGTGATTAAGTCCTAAACGTTAGCAAAGAGTGGATCTGGTGTAGTGGTTAAGATACCAGAGTAGAAGGTGGGAATCTGTGAATTCTAGCTCCATCATAGACACAAAGCCCACTAGTGATCTCGGGCCAGTTATTCTCTCAGTCCTAAGAAAGAAGCCATGATAAACCATCTGAAAAACCTTGCCAAGAAAGCTGCAAAGACTTGTCCAGACAGTATCCAAAATCAAACATGGTTAAACAGAAGATGGGGGGAACCATTAGCAATTAATAATGGACCTATGAGATAATATGAATTTAAAAGTGTGGAAATAGAGGAATAATATTTCATTCAGATTTTGCCCAAATTGGCTGCATGAAGACATCTAGTTTTCTTGCTGGGAATTTGGAAGTGGCTTCTCAATGCTATCTTCCAGAAAAGTTTTCAATGTACCATTCTAGCCTAAAGTTCTATTACAGGTAGTCTTCAGATTATAATGGAAATTGGGACTGGACTTTCTGTTACTAAGCAATGCAGTTCCTCAACCAAATGCTAGCAGATCAATCCCTCTTTGTTTTTCCCAGAACCAACCAAGATTTTGTAACGAAAGGCTGCGCACAAAGGCTGCAGTGGTCTATCTTTAAGAAATCATATGGATAACTCTCTTAGCTTGGGATTTCATGTTTGATGAGCTTCCATTCATTTTTCCCATTTCTTACTAGTCTCAGAAGTGTTTTGTGTTTTAAGTGCCAGAGAGAAAATGTCAGTGTTATTCTGTTTAGCATGTGGGACATTTTTCTCAGATCTTATCCTCAACTTACCATGGCTAAATTAAAGGCTGGGAAAGGTTTTTGCTTAAGCTTTGGGAAGCTCTGTAAACTAGAATAAACACTATTAGAACAAAGTTATTTACCAATAGACTGTACAGTCAGCTAGAAAAGTTTTGTCTTATGTCAGGGTGCCTTGCTGATATTAAGTATCTGTAGGAATCTAGAAACTAAGTCCGAGGGGAAGGGAGAGAGAGAGAAAGACTATATGTGTATTCAGATTTAAGTAAATGTAAAGAACACAAACTCCAGCTGAATATTATGGAAACCTTCCTAGCAGTAAGAATAATTCTGCATTGGAACCAATTTCTTCAGCAATTCTAGCAGAGAGTAGATGGATACTTTGGATTCTTGGACTGGGCAAATGACTATATCTGATGGACAAACTAAGTAGCTTCCTTCAAATGTATGACTCTCACTTTATTATTCCATATATCCATTTAAATACAGTTAATGGATTATCCTCTATAAATTTAATAGTATTCCTCCGTTATGTTAAAAGTATAAAACAGTAATATACATTTCACTGCTAAGAGTCAATATCTGGATTTTCCTGACCCACCCTATATTATGTTCCATGGATATCAAGGCTAAATTTGAATAAGCATGCAGCTAAATAGTGTAAAACATATTATTGAGATCATGCTATCCTTTGGATCAAGTGCATTTTCCTTGGGATCAATGCACACTCATAGAAAATTTATTTAAATAAAAATTGCTTGCCATTTTCACATAACCAGCATTAATGTATCCAGTTGCTACTGCACCTATAACAATCTAGCTTGCTATATTGCATCTTTCTGATAAACGGACTCCTTGCAAAACTACTGTAAGCTTATCTAAATACTTTTTAAAGAATATTTCAGAAGCACATTGAAGGAGAACATATTCAGAAGAATGGGTTGTAATTGAATGAATAGTTTATATACAGTATCTTACAGAAATAGGGTTCTGGTTTATCATAGCATAAAACATTGTACCATAAATTTCATGGTATATGTACTGTACACTTCAGTAACTGATGCCTACATTATTGTAAGTTAGATTTCAAAATACTATAATGAAGTTGGCAAACAAACACATCATAAGGCACAGTGTAAGCATTCAGAGACAACAGCAGTTAGAACATTTAAAGTGCTACTAACAAATAGTACAATTACAATCAATAGACTCCAAAATAATTGCAGTGACATAACACATAGCATATAGCTAAATTTATCCAGATTACATCATCAAAAACATATTTATACATTCAAATACGTGACACTGACTATTGATACACAGATTTTCCAGGATGGATAGTATGTATTTATTATGGATAATAGCAGTCTCTGTTCAGCCTTTGTAAAAGCAAACTTACACTGCACGTTGATGGTTAAAACTAAGCTGAGAAAGAAAATGAGATAATTCTCCAGGAGTTTGCATAACATTAGGAAATGTATCTGAGTATTATTTTTTCCTCCTCCTTCCTCTCCTCCCCCCTCCTTATAGTATACACTTAATAACTAATAATGTTTAATTTAGAATATTAATTTTGCATGTAATTCATCATTTTAATCTGATTCTAATTATTATTATAGAACATAAAACTTTAAAATATGTTTGAATTTGGATTTCCCAAGCTGTAAAACCTAAAAAAGAAGTGAACAAAAATATTTTTTCTCTACTAAATGTTTTTATGGTTTTTTTCTGTCCAGCATGAGGAAACCCAAAAGTAAAAGTTAAAGGATGTATGTGAATTATATAAGAACAGAATCTGTTAAGTAATATATAATGCAGAATGGATATATTCTGCTTCATCGTAGTTTGACCACATTCAGTTTTTCCTATCATACTTTTTAAAGCAGTGATTCAAACACATTTTAACCATTTATATACAGTTGAATTGTTTCTAATATTTTTCAGCAGTATTAATCTATAAAAGGAATACATACCACAAATGTCCAATTTAATGCATTCAAGATTATTACTCTTTGACATCAGTTTCTTTGTCTATCATCTAATACTCGGAAACTTTGCTATCACTGTTTATTTAACAGTTAAAATTTAATTAGAATAATTAATTTGAAACTAGAAACATTTCTAACAAAATTAATGATGGAAAATTACCTAGGAAATTTCTAGATGTTGTCACAAAACTGTACATGGACAAATGCTGTTCATTTTTGTATGCAAATCGTGAATAAAAGCATGCCAACTTTCTAAATCTGTTTCTGATGAGAACAATATTGTTCATTCTCTTGCAAATAAAATCTTTCAGATATAATGCTGTGTCAAAGGATGAACAAGTGCAGTTTCATTCATAAAGAGTGCATTCAAGGGCTGCATAAATATATTACCTGTGTCAGTATTTGTGTATTGCACAAGGTTTTCCTCTATGCAATAGGATAATTGTAGCCATGCCCATTGATCTGCTATGGTTCCTATGTCAGTAGAGAATAATACACTGATATTAAACTTGCAAGATTAGAGACTTAAAACATGCGCACAAGTTTGGTTATTTCAACTTTCATTGAAGCCTCAATCAGAAAATAGTAAAAACATCATCCTGAGAATATCGCTGAAGCTCGATTATCACTCAATTAATTGCAGAAATTTAACAATACAATAGCAGTTTATTCATAAGTGCAAGTTAACTATGAAAAAAGAACTTTTTAATTTGGAAAGATATAATTTACTTTGTCTTTCCAGATAATCAAGCATGTATTAAAACTGTCTGGTTGTTTTCCTTCAGGAAAACACAATATTGCACTACTTGGGAATTAAATAATATGGATTATTAATAAAACCTGAACATCTAGCTATTCATTTGCAAAACACAGAATTTGCCAAATGTTCTACATGAAGAAAACTTGTTGGACATACAACATTATAATTAAAATAAATTAGAACGATGGATTAATTAAGCTTTGCTACTAGCTGTCTCATGTATTTTAACTGTCAGTGTTTGAAACTGTGGCATATACGGTATAAAGGTTTGAAGGGGCCTCTCACAGTTACAGATAAAAGGATTTAGATCAGGTGTTACATTTTGAGAAATCCCCATGCTTCTAATGAGAGTATTGGTATGAAAATTACATGGTGCCACATTTGAATTTTCTGTTAAAAATATATCATTTTCATTATTTTTGAGTGGGCCCATGCCTAAGTAGAACAAACTTCTCTCTGGGCTGTCACCTTCAGTGAACGTTTTATCCTGTTCTGAAGATTCTAAGAAACCTTCAGTGGAAACAACAGAGAGAGAGTGACTTTTCCTGGGAGGGTCTTGAAAATATTCAGGTAATATCAAAAATGCTTGATTTCCTACTGCCCAAGAAATGCTAGAGAAAGAAGCTGGAACTAAAGACTTAAGGTTCACAAAACTTCTGTCAGAAGGACTACTTGAATCCTTTGGAGGCTCATAAAGTCCACTTGACATGGAGCCACTTAAAATAGTTGCATATTTTACATTACATTGTTCTGACATGCCTCTTTTATTTTCTGCATCTTGGACGTTCTCAGATAGACTATCGCTATTGAAATGACCACTAAAGCAAGTTGAGTCATGCTCAAAGTCCTGAATGGTTGAAAACAGTGAGTCAACTGCTAGTAACTCTTGTTTATCTTCATGTTTCATTGCTTTATCAATACTGATATCTTCCAATACTATTTCTGATTCCAGAAGTAGCGGACCAAATGACAACGCTTCAGGATGCTTGAGAAAGAGATGCTCAAAGGTTTCAGGCTAGAAAAACAAGACACATTGTAAAGCTCATTTATCAGTTAATTTTTCATACCGAAAAAAATACAAGAATAGGAAAAATTAAGCAAATGAATATTTTATTATATTTGAATCAGGTTCTTCATTTTCAAAGCCAGATGAATTACATTTTTAAAATAATTCTTTTGGGGGGAGGGAACCAAATTATGGTATTCAATCTAGATATCAGTTATAATCTAGTTCAGATTAAATAAAGTGTACCAAAATAAGGCATACACGTTAAAGTAAACAAAGATATATTTGCAAGTTTTAAATATACCATTTTAGATATTTAATTTTTATATGCTTTAAAGTAATTGTTTGAACCCTAGATTTCTGTCTTCTCAATTAGAATTATGGATATAATGCATCTTCCTTTCAATAAAGAGTAAATTAAAAATGCAGTGGCTCTAAAAATAACTGATAAATAAAATGAGTCATAATCAAAATAACCACAAAGCATCCTGCAATTCTATGCACACTTACCTGTCAATAAAACTACTGAAAATATTTTATTCTAGCCAGAGTATATATTCTATGGTACAGCTTTGTCTCCAGAAATCATCACTCATTGATATGTAATGCAAGTGTTTATCAGGTTTTGCTATTCCTCTCCAACATCCAGGATGAAGTTAAGTGTATTTCTCATGTAGACTTCATCAACATGTGGTGATATTCCCAAAGTTCAAAATACTCTCTATGTCATGCTAAAATCCTGTTCAGATCAACTACTGGCAAAATTTTCTTCCTTTCTTTGTGAGTGGTTAAGGAGATCTCCAAAACTGTAGGTGATGTTTTGCATTTCATAAATATTGCTTCTGTCGCCATTCCCTAGAAAACATTTTTCTAGGCAATTTCTTAACTTAGCTTTATTGAACTTTATTAAAAATGTGTTATGGAGCTGACCTTTCATATATTTTTTGTTGCTGGAAATTTAGTTCCCAGTGGCCTAACCCATATCAGAATTGGCATGCATTGAGATGGAGAAGGCCTGAGGATTTGATGCAGCTTCTGTAGTAGCAATGCACATCTTTCTTTCCAAGTTGCATTAGTGTTATTGGGTAATCAAGAGAATCGTTGCGATTTAAATTGAGTTCTAGAATGCTTGGAGGTAGCTTTTTCATTCAAAAGAATTTCTATTAATGCTCCATTTCAAGTTCTTGTTCTCCCCTCACCATTCACAATGTCTTTAAAGCAACATGTGTCCTTGTATAGGGTTCTGGGGCCCTTGCAACAATACCAGTTATCTGCTTTTCTTTGTCACAAACCTGTGTGAGGAAATTAATATGTGGGGAGGGTAATGGATGCAGGCTGGATACTGATTTCTTTGTTTCTTTACTGGTCAACTAGAAAGTTTTCAGCCTAGCTGTAAAGATTTTGGAAAATGCTTCAATGGACACTCATGGATCTTTGAAAAACTGGTGCTGAACTAACAGCAGGGAATTTGCATACCACCCACATGGAGTGTCTTTAAAATTCTGTTTGTTACAACCCTGCATAGATATGCTGTTAAAATATGCAGTGCACAATGAGAGTGAGAGAGAGAAGGGGAGGATTAACAAAGTTTTCAAAACAGCTGGAATGGGTGAAGAGGGCTATACTGTAAGACTTTCAGAAATGCCTTAGACTCTGAGGTTTTTGAGACTTGTCAACAGCTAATGTGGCTGAGGTATAACATACAGTATTCTAGTACAACATTGTAATGAAGAGGAATGTTTATATTTATTCAAATTTAAGTCCTGTTCTGCGGTTTTTTTCAGTTATCCTACTGACAGAAGAATGGACCGACAGACCCAACGCTGGCTTTCTTTGCAGAATTTGATTCCAATATTCTGTTGAATTGGAGATAATTCATTAATGAAAACCTTACATGTTAGAGAAATTAATTGCTGATAAAATATACTTTGATTACAAAATAGGCTTAGGTTTACCTGCCATTGAAATTTGATTGTGGAATCATTTATAATGTGACAACTGAAACATACTTGCAAGAGACAGCCAAAAGAATCTATAAGATTCTATTTATATGTCTGAAATACACATACACACTATAGCTAGGGGTGGGTTGCTGCCAGTTTTACTACCAGTTCTCAACTCACGCACAACGCACGTATGCCCTGTTCAATGTAAATTGTTCTTCGTTCATGCTGTTCGGGGGCGTGGCAGGCCTGGGTCGCTGCCAGTTCTGCAACCCAGGCCTGAATTCCACTACCAGTTCAGCTGAACTGGGCCAAACTGGGAGCAACCCAGATCTGACTATAGCATGTATGTATACGTGTATGTGGCACATGCAAACATACACAAAGAAACAAATATTAAGAAAATAGATAAACTCTTTTTATTCCTTACATAAAAGAGGTTCGGAGCCTTGTGTCTGTCAACAGGATAATTATCTGTAAATTGAACAGGATGAAACCAAATCTGCAGCAGGGGAAATTTAGCCAGATAAAGAATGAAATGGAAGATGGGTTGTGGAGACAATAGCAATAGCAATAGCAGTTAGACTTATATACCACTTCATAGGGCTTCCAGCCCTCTCTAAGCGGTTTACAGAGTCAGAATATTGCCCCCAACAACAATCCGCCAAAACATTTTACCCACCTCGGAAGGATGGAAGACTGAGTCAACCCTGAGCCGGTGAGATTTGAACAGCCGAACTGCAGAACTGCAGTCAGCTGAAGTAGCCTGCAGTGCTGCATTTAACCACTGCGCCACCTCGGCTCATATAAGGACTCCAGAAAAATTTCCAATGGATCTCATTTTGAAAGGCAGGTCAGAATACTGGCCAACCCTTCACCTAAGGTCCTCCTTTTGGTCACACGATGCAGAAGAGGGTGTGTGGCCTGTCCTTTCCTTCCTACTGCACACATATTCACATGTGGCACACAGAGCCATCTCTCTGAGCATGCCAGCTGTTGGCCATTGCTCTTCTGGGTTCCTCCCAGCTGCTCTTCACATGTGCGGGAGTGGAGGAAACTGGAAGAGCAGTTCCCTGGCGGGCATGTGCGTGTTGGGAAGCTGAGCTTCTGGTTTCCGACACATACATATGCGCTGGCCAGCTGGTCTTCACATGTGCATGCACACCAGAAACTGGAAGACCAGACCACTGGTGTGCATGCACATGCTGAAAACTGGAAGCTCAGCTTCCTGACACGCACATGCACACCAGGTTGCTGCTCTTCTGGTTTCAGGTATTCTCCTGAGTGTGTGCGCTCCCGTTTCAGCATGATGCCGAAAAGGTTCGCCAACACTGCCCTATCTGAATATTGTGTCATGTTCTGGGCTCCACAGTTCAGAGAGGACAGTGACAAATTAAATTCATAGAAAGGTTAAGATAGTCAGGGATCTAAAACAAAGTTTTATGAGGAAATGCTAGAGAATCTGGGTATGTTTGACCTACACACAGCTGATGAGTGGATATTAAAGCAGTCTTCAAATACCTGAAGAGTTGTCACATAGAGGAAGGAATAGAATTATTCTCTATTGCTCCAAAGGTCAGGATGAGAACCAATGGATTAAAATGCAAGGAAGTAGGTTCAGCCAGACATTAGGAGGAAATTCTTGATTTATAAACTGTCAGCTCATGAAACAGACAGCCATGTGAGGTGGTAAACTCTTTGCTATATGGCTAAAGAGACTCTAGGCATGATCAAGCAGAAATGCTTTGGTGCAAGATTTTCAAACCTTTTCACAGAAGCTGTCATTTCTTTCTAAAGAAATTCCTGCAATCTCTGATCAAGAAGCAAAGCTCATGATAAGAAATTCATTGTGTTTGAATGATGTCTTTTCCTTTTTGCACTTAGTTTCTCATGGAATCTCACCTAATTGTTCCAGAGCTTAGCGTTCCATAGAAACCATTTTTAAAACTTCCTCATTCAACCCCTTGTACCATGCATACAACAGTGGTGTGCACATACCCTGATTAGTTTCTGGGAAGAAAGTGCACATACACAAACACACACACACACAATACTTTATTACACAGAACATATACACATACCTATGGCCATTGCTGCTAATGGGGTTGAGAAAATTCCAGAAACTATCCCTCTGAGCTTATCAAATATGTATCAAGGAATAATTTCTGTCGTTCTTGTTTATGCTGCATTTTTTTTTATTTGGAATTATAATATCCAGGTTAGGTTTTTTTGTCTTTCTAGTAGAAGGGCATGGAGAGCACTTGCCTATAAAATCGCCAAGAGTTGAACATGACTAACTGGTTAAACAACAAGTGAACAACAGAGATCCCTTTTTTCCTCCTAAAAATAGGGATAGATTTCCTACTGCCTATGATTTGCTGGTGGTCTGCCTGCTTGTGTTTGTCAAGTCTACCGAAAAGTGAGAGTGGACAAAAGACTGTATTGAGTTTCTATTATTCATCTGATAATAAGTATTGTTTCCAAATTAGGAAGAATACTTGTCTTTTGATAAATACTTTAATAATTTTTCTTTTATAGCTTTAGGAAGTTACTTCAAAAGTTACATCTCTTTTCCAAGTGCCCTGAACAAATTAGAAATCAGGACAAGAAAAATCCTGCTCATTTATATGTCAACACTTCCTTTTTATATGATAGGACTCTAATGAAGTAGATGAGCTAAAACAGAAGATAAAATTATCACTGGAATTAGACTAAATAAAAGCTAAAATGTTCAGAAAAAAAGCTTTCTAAATGTTCATAATTTTCATTTCAAGAATAATTTGAATATGACGTTATATGTAGTAGAATAGTCTCAGCAAAAGCTACATGGCCCTTGAACATATTGCATTTAGCACGAAATTGGACAGAATAAGCTTGTACCTTCTAAATAAGCTTTTAAATATTTCTGAGTTTTCAAACTTTCTGTTATATTAAGATTGAAAATTCATAAAATATAAAAGATTCCATTAGCACATGAAACTTGAGTGCATTTTTATAGAATTTTATGTAGGTGTTCTATTCCTTTGAATTTCCTGTTTCCCATTCTCTGACTGTAATCTTAGGGACAGTTTCTACTAACTTGATCTTTTGGCCTCTATCTCCTTGCCTAAACATTTTAGAGGGGAAAAGACACTTTATAATGGATGACATAGTGTAATTCATAACTTTTGGTGGTAGATTTCACCAACAGTAACCTGAAACAATGCAAAGTTCATGACCTTCTGAAAACACCAAATGTGCTGGGCCACAGCGCATTTGGAATGAGGCTGTGGAATTATGGACAAGCTTGTGGGTGCACCACTGCATTTGTGAAAGTGATGCGCTCACACAAAACCATACCCTCTTCTCCCTCCTGCCACCGCAGCCTCCACTCCTTCTGTTTCTCCACTGAGTTGAAAAGGTTGGAGACCGCTGGCATAGAGCTACTCACATTATTATACAATTTCACTTTTATTGGAACATCTGATAAAATGATGATTCTCCCACTGATTGCAAATATAGAAGGAATTTCAGAAGGCCATTTACACACACTTTAAAATAAACTAAATAGGGGTTGTTTTTCCTGATAATAATTTTCATTGTCTCTTCTGTCAAAAACATTTACTCTATTCTTCCCTGCTTCTTGGCACAATTTAACTAAAGGCACATCAAAGTCATACTGTTCTCACTTTCAAAGACCCCTGAAGCAATTTGTAGGCCTAGCTGTCTTTCCTTCTGCTAATATGAAACACAAATATTGCCCCGACCAAGCTGCTACAGTCCTCCAGTACTTTGCAGGCATTTTCCATCTGGCTGTAGAGGAAATCTGATTAATCTCTTGTCAATGTCATCTTTGTGTATTCGCTGCAAAATCATTAAGCCAGCATTCCCTTTGTAACTAATTTCTGTCAGGAATCAGAAGGAGGGATGAGGTAAGTGTTTCCTCTCACAAGAAAATAGTAAGCTAAATTCTCCAATCCTGTTGACACAGTGAGAATATGAAGATCCAGAATGGCTTTCAAACTGGTGCAGCAAATGTGAAATTGAGAGACTAAATTACAGGTAGTCCTTGACTTACGATCACAATTGAGCCCAAAATTTATGTTGCTAAGTGAGAAAATTGTTAAGTGAGATTTTCCCTACTTTATGACTTTTCTAGCCACATTTGTTAATTGAATCACTGCAATTGTTAAATTAGTAACACGGTTGTTAAGTGAATCTGACTTTCCTGTTGACTTTGCTTGTCAGAAGGGTTCAAAAGATGGTCCCATGACCCTGGAACACTGCAACCGTCATAAATGTGAACCAGTTGTCAAGCATTTGAATGGAAAATGTGTGGAAAATGGTCCTAAGTCACTTTTTTCAATGCTGTTATAACTTTGAACAGTCACTAAATGAATTGTTAAGTCGAGGACTACCTATAATCAGGAAAAGCATCTACACTGAGGATGTCTTAGGTACATACATATATGTGGCTGTAATGAAATGATAAACATTCAGCATATAATGCTCCGAGTAAGAAACATGCTTCATAATTAGCCCTGCATATTTAGAAAACAAAATAGTTTTAGGAAAATGTGTAGAATTAAAGACACCTTGATATCACTGGCTTTAAGTACATGATGCTTTATATCTATATCTGTCATTCTAAATCAGGTGCTGGGAACATTCCCTGGCTACCATGTAATCCCAGTTTTATTCATTCAACTCAGTCATAAAGATAGTTTGCCCAGACTATTCTTTGAGCTTAGGTTACTTAATCAGAGTTTTCTAGGGGAACTTAATGTATTAAGGAATATAACATAGGTGCCCACTGTCCTTGAATCCTCAAGTGTTCCTCTTACACAACAAAACCTGTCCTTGCTGAAAAATAGTATTCTTAGAATGATATACCATTAATATAACCTTTGTACAAAATTATTTCCAACACTATTATGTACGAACAAAGTCAGCAGACAATGAAATGATAGGAAAGTAATTCTGTCTTCTGAATTCAAATAGATAATTCTTCTAACAACTTGTAAAGGAAGTCTGGGAGCTGGAACAATGGTTCAGCGGGCAGTGACCAAGATTAGACTTCAAAGAATGTCCATTCTCTGTTTAAATGAAATGAAATAAAATTAACAATAAAGATGAGAAAGTAAAAGTTTAATGGAAATGAAAACTGAAAATAATATATTAATTTTAAAAAAATCATTTCCCCAAATGTTTCTACCTATTATAACATTTAATTCAACTTTTATAGTTTCATTCACAAAGTATATAATGGTAAACTTAATAAAACTGCCATCTGTACCATGTAAGAATCAAGAAATCTACAGAAAGATGTATAGAGAGGGATGAGATGGGGATAAGTGGATTAAATACATTCATAATGCTTTGTAGACGTTATGACTTGCTCTATCAGAATGACCAGTTTTCTTAGACAATGATTGAAGATCCATGGTTCCAATAGAAATGTTGAATGCTTGTGGCATATTGTCCTAGCAGAGCATGGAATATCTATATTTTATTTTGAGCACTGGACCTTGTATAATAGTAATAATAGTATTCTGTAATAATAATAATCAAAACTGGAAGGATATTTTTAGAATGTACATGTATATCTATCTCTGAAGGGATACTTATTCAGGTGGATTTATTTTTGTCAGTGTACCTGAAAACCCATTAGTAATTTAATGGTAATAATCAGCCTCAGTTTCCAAGTAACATATAACAATGAAATGCATTAAAATAGAGTTCCATACCTTTTGGAAATTAACTCCTTGTGCCCAGGAACAATTCTTCGGGTTTGGGACATCAACCCACAATAATTTCTTAATTCTGAAAAAATACAGATAATGAATTGATTTGGTTCAAAGGATAAGCAAAAGCAAATTTGGTGTGATCTCCCAGGACCTGGGAGATCCTGTTCAAGGCTACGCTCAGCTATGAAGATATACTCTATAGTTGTACCAGGTATTTTCTTTCTGCTCTTTCTTTCCTAAATGAGAAATAAAAGAAGCAGTGCTATGTATACTGTATTGCCTTTAACAGAAACTAGGATATAAATCCAACAAAATAATGATGAGAAAAAATATTACAGCTTCTGGGTTGCTGCAAAGAATAATGCTACAATGCAAACTCTAATAATTGGAAAATATTTTATAATTTTAATTTTTAAATTTAATTTATTCTCTATTCATCCATTCAAATAGATGATCATATAGATTATTGTATCTAATATTCTCCTACTATGAACAGATTCTGCAAGCCTTCATGAAGGAAAACTTTACCTATGTTGCAAAATCAGCAATGCTCCAAGCAGCAGAAATGAGCATGAAATCATTAAGGGTAGAATCACATAGAAGTTCACATCATGCTGCTTTTCAATCCCACCTGGAAAAATAATAATTTATTTTAAAAAGTCATTACCATTGCAATCCAAATACACATGCAAAATATTACTTCAGTGACATTAAACTGAATGGGTGAAGATTATTCTAGATAGTATGCCTAACGAAGGATCCTAAGATCAAAACTGAATATCTTTGTAGACACACTAGATTATATTTTTCAAGTCAGACCCTGTTTACAGAGCAGGAAAGTCCTATTAAATTCACCAGGCCTCCAGCTTAATTAATACAGAATTAGATTAAAAGGCTTTACATCTTGAGTACTTATTTCCTTAAAATTAAATCTTGATTGGTTTGAATTAATCAGTTTTTTAAAAATTGTGTTTAAGTAAATTTGAATATATAGTTAAAAATACATTGATTGGCTAAATTAGCCATGCATCCCAATTCTCTGTATGAGTACTCAAAAAGAAGCAGCATTAAACAGCATTAACAGGCAGGAAATACTGCTTAAAAAGCATGGCAACGTGTGATTTTATTTTTGCCCTCCATGGCCTCCGGCAACACTCTGCTGGCCAAAAACGGGCTGCATAGTCCGTTTTCAGCCTTCCCGGCCTCCAGCAGCACCCTGCTGGCCAAAAATGGCCCGTTTTAGTCAGCAAAGGCACCACAGGCCGGTCCTTTGAGGGCCAGATTTAAGCACCCTACATGCTGGATCCAACCTACGGGCTTTGAGTTTGACACCCCTATTAAGTAATGCATACTTAATAGGGCTAAGCATTCAAAGGCACTTCAAACATATATCAGCAGAAATCAAATGCATCCTAACTCTATATAAAAGTATTAATAATGTATAGTATACAAAATTATATTATATGAACTAAAAACAATATTTAAGGCAGATACAATCTCCTGCTCTGCCATTGTAAGTAGCAATCTCATCCCACTGTACTTGGCAAAATGATACGTTAAATAAAAACATTTCTATACTTAAATGTAAACTATTACTAGACTGCTATCTATTATGAAGGTTTGGTTGTGTCCAGAAATCTTCCTTGAATGTACTGGATTTTTTGTTTTCTTTTGCATTTTCAATATAAAGAGTTGAACCAAAAAAAGAAAAAAACTAAAATTTTGGCTGAAGCTGTATTTCATGGCATGATTATTTAGAATTAAAAGTTAATAATAACATGTACAAACATACATACCACTGTTAAGATGAGTGCCTCTATAAATCAATCAACCAATCAATCAAACAAGCAAATAATCTTCAGCTTCAAACTAAGCAAATAAGCACAGAACATGAATAAAAAATAAAATGCCAAAATGCATGATATAAGAAAAAATGTTAGTTAAATCTAACCATCAAATCAGTCACTGTATTCATTCAATTCATACAATTCATACCCTAACAATCATTCTTGCTTCCATATATCACGTCATATATTGCCTTTTGTTTTTTCAACTTAATGTCTCTTATTTTGAGTACAGGTAATCCTTGATTTACAACCATTCATTTAGTGCATATTCAAAGTTACAGTATCACTGGAAAAATTGACTGATTACTGTTTTTCACACTTATGATCATTGCAGCATTGTCCTCATGGTCATGTGACCAACATTTGGACATTGGGCAATTGGTTCATATTTATGAACATATCCCCAGGTCATTTTATCACCTTTTGTGATCTTCTAACAAGTCAATGTGGAAGCTAGCTCATTTAATAACTGTGGCGAGAAAGGATGTAAAAAGGGGGGAAACTCACTTAACAACTATCTTTGCTTAGCAGTGGAAATTTTGAGCTCAATTTTGAAATTGTGGCTGTAAGTAAAGGACTACCAGTATCATGCAACCATGATTTTCTTGGCCTTCTCTTTTCTCTCAATCTTCTTCCATATTTTTGTTCTGTAGTTAAATCCTCAATCATGCTCTTTATACCACAAAGTGCCACAGTATATTTCTTTTTTTTTACTAATTATTCATTACTATCTTTTAAATTTTTAACGTACTTCTTACTCTTGTATTCAACATTCAGTTTCTTTTCACCTACCAAACTCTCACTTCCATATAAATAGAACAGAAGTATTTTATATGTAACTGTTTTATTCTGACAAATAATCACTACTCAAAATTGACCACACACTATGTTTATACCATAATTATCATGTTTTAAATTTTTCTCCATTTAACAATCTTTAGCACAGATTCTATCAACCTAGTCTAGTTTTTTTATCAACCTAGTCTAGTTTTTTTCTGTCTCTGTGTGTGTGTGTGTGTGTGTATAGATAGATAGATAGATAGATAGATAGATAGATAGATAGATAGATAGATAGATAGATAGATAGATAGATAGATAGATAGATAACTTTCAAGTATTTAAGTTATTTTTCTATTAAATACCACTGGTCTCAGATTCTTTGGATTCTGAATAAAACATATCATCTACTTAGAAAAATATATTCCCAACTATTTGAATTGATACCGGTGAGAGAACTAACTGTTTTCTCTGCCAATAAAGAGAAGGGTTATATAAACATCCTTCAGCTACCTCCCAAGGCCTTCACAAGACTTGCCAAGAATCCATTAACTGTGAAGGATGAAAAAAAATAGAATTTAAACCCTGCAGTTCATATATGGATTAAAAGTTTCTGATTTCATTATATTTAACTGGTTAATCAACTGTTGTGTTTAAGGCTTTATTCCTGTCTGCGGTAAAGATTATATATAAAGATTATAAACTAGCTAAGTCATTTTTAGTGTTTTCTGCCAAAGGTAAAGATTCTGCCGCTCAGCAGGGACCAAATAAGGTGCTCAGTGACTGGATAGCTATAATTACCTTCCAAGTCCTGAGGTATAATGTGAAAACAACCAATATACCAGGAGTGAAATCCACTTACGGTACCTTTGCTACCAGTTCGGTGCAATGTGAGCGCTTGCGTACCTCCCGCGCATACTCAGAGCCTCAAAAAGGTAAGGTAAGCAAACAGCGAGGGGGGGGAATCCGCTGTGCCGCACAATTTATATTAGCTAGAAAGCAAGAAATCCTGCTTTCTAGCTAATATAAATAGCGCAGCACAGCTGATCATTGGAAAAACCTGTTTGCCTGAACTGGTTTCATTTATTTTACTACAGGTTCAGGCGAACCAATAGCATTTTTATTACCAGTTCGGGTGAACCGGTCCAAACTGGTAGCATTTCATCCCAGCAATATACTTCTAATGTCACAAGCATAAACTTTCCATTTATTGTCATCCATTTAGTTCCATCATACCTCTTGCAAACTTTACATTATATTGTGATGGAATGGCTCCTCAGAAGGTTCCCTTGATCCCTGCATGAAATACATTCTCTCAAGTAGCTAAACGATCTAGATATCTTGCCTGTAGATTTAACCACTCCAGTAACTGTTGTTATATAATTTAATTTTATTTGCAATTTTATTAATTACTTGTTCTGTATGTTTTTAATGGTTCATTGTTCTGATATTTTAATACACATTTTGTGAGTTTTTCTGCATTAATGCTTGTATTCTGTTATGTCACATGAAATAATAAAAATAAGAATCATAGCTTCATCTTACAGTGTTCTTAACATATTCAGCAACTGCCAGCTCACACAAAACATTTCATAGCAAAGCCAATTCATGTTCTCATGTGGTTCCTTTAAATCAGCAAAGATAAAAATAAATTATCTAACATTCATACATTTTTCAATGACCTGCTGAAGAGCAAACATCAGATCTGCAGACTCCCCTGCCCAGTAGAAAGGTACACTGTACTTCCTACATTTTGTTCATTGTCACACCATCATTCTTTCAAAACCAGAATTCAGTTAAACACTTTCTCAGGAACACTTAACAGATTAGTACCCCAGTAGTTTTTAAATAGACTCTAGGCACCTTGCCTTTTCTATAGGAGAGCCATAGTAGAGTCTTACAATCATTATGCACACATATTAAAGTCAAATGTTTTAAGTAAGTCGTACAGCCTTTCATAAGCAAACCATGTCTGTATTTTTATTTTCCTTGGTATTTTAACATTTCTGTTGTCATGATTTGTCAATATTTTCACTAAATTTTTTCTTTCACTTTTTTTTCTTTGACTACAAGTAGTCTTATATCTACAACCACAATTTCATTTGTAAGTCATCACAAGTCAAGGAGCCAACTTGATTTTATGACCATTTTACCACCAAACATTTTGATTAGCAATGTTTTTTTCTGAAAAATGACAAAAAACTACTTATTCTCATGTAGACCTCTAGAATATTCAAGCATTCCCTCATTTTATTTTCATTACAAAACATTTAATCACTTTTAATTTCATTAGCTCTGCTGGAGACTCTTTTAACAATTTTCACTTCCACCAATTTAACTACTTTGTTTTTCTCTGTACCTTTTAAATTTAACCATTTCTTGCTCTAGTTGATTATATTCTTCACTACTCTTTTTTTCTATATTATTTCTATCATTCTGATTTCTTTTGCTAGTCATTCTCTTATATAAACTTTTTATCATCCACAGCCTCTTCTTTCACTTTATCATGCTTTTTACACTCCCCATAAACATGTACAATTGATTGAGCATGAAGATCCTTTCAATTACTTTTTTGTGATCACATTAACATGAAATATCCACATTGCCACAGAAATTCAGTGCAAAGAACTTGGTTGTGGTACTGAAATATAGGGATAATAAATGGAAAAAGAAATAAAACCTGAGTTATTTTGAAAACCTACTCCAAATGACTCAATAATATTAATCATAAGTGAAGTTTTCATAAACATGAAGTTTTTCAATTTTTGAGTCTTCAAAGAGAGAAGGAATAACTGATGGACACTTTATTGTTCAGTCATCTGTTAGGAAACAAAATAATCATTCCAAAACACCCAGGAATCAGCTTGGTGGGTCATATTTTTCTTCAGAGAAGGGAGAATTAGCATTCCTTGCCTTGTTTTTACTAACATGTAACTAATAATTCAGTATACAATGTAAACAAAAGTAAGAATATTGAGTAGTGGCAGAAAATATAGTGTAGTGAAACACATATCTTAGACTTCAAAAAAAACTGATTGTAAAAACTTTTAATGATTATATATAGGACTCCATAGTAGTAGGAGAAAAATGGAAAAAGTATGCACAGATTAATGGGAATTCTTGAAAACTCATGTTCTAAAAAGGTCATTTGGAAATAATTAAAATGTGGAAATAAAAAGAAAGGAGCAGAAGAAACCAATGGGGTTGCTCATAAACCTTTGTGAAAAAATTGAAAAGGCACATATAAGAAAAGGCACATATAAGAGTTAGAATGAGAGACATATTACCAAGAAACAGTACATGTATACCTAGATTGATAGAGAGATGCCAGGAAAACTAAAGAGCAGAATGTACTGAGATTAGCAAAAGGGCTTATTTAGAGATGTTCAGAGTAACAAAGAAAACAATCGATATACCAGCTGATCATTGCGGAGGTCAGAACAGATAACAAAGAAAAGACAGTACTACTTAAATCCTATTTTGGTCCCATCTTCTCAGAGAAGATATGCATTCAACTAGGCAATTTTGAAGAACCGATTGAAGGAGCAGCATTTTCGCTTCAGCTTAATCAAAATAATCAGGAGAACTTATTGCCCCTGAAAGAGTTCACATTTTCATATTAATTGTTTCTTAAAATATTGAAGGAGCCGTGTTTCCTGTTTGGTTCTGTATTTAATCACCCAATATCAGGCTTGCCACATTTTTTTCTTGTGATATTTGAAACATTAAATACAATTAGCCACCCTCTTTTTAACTTAAAAAAATGCTACCACAGAAGCATTTTCCTATGAGGATTAAGCTATGAATCATACACATGGATAATATATATATATATTATTTTATTGCTGCCTGTAGATTTATCTTTTTTTTTTCAGGTGGGACAAGGTAGAGAATTCAGTCCAGTAGACTTACTAATATGTTTTTGGCTGCTTAAAAACTCAACAAAATTAGCTGTGTCTATAGTGTCATCTTGTGAGTTTAACTCAGGGGTGGGTTCCTCCCGGTTCGCACCGGTTCTTGCGAACCTGTTCGTCAGTGAACCCGGAAGTAATTAACTTCCAGGTTC